CTAACATCCAACAGGTTTGCTTCCTAACTTGCAGTAAAGACTGACTTTGTTGTTCTGTGCAGGGTTCTGGTAGGCTGACTGTGAGAGGCAGGGAATAAATGTAAAGTTACTCAATCTCAAGGCCAGCTCAGAGCAGCCGTGTAAAGATGTCTGTAAGTGTGGGGTTTAGACAGGGCTGTCATTAGCCCCTTATTGGCGAATCTAAGAAGTGGGTGCATGTGGGCTGACACATTGATCACATACGAGAGAAAAGCACAGCGTGCCCAGGAAATGCGTAACACGAATCACTTTGCCACTAAGCAAAGCAGTTAAATTATTTCCCAGGACTGACAGGAAAATATACAGACATGGTTTACTTTTACTATGTAAACAATTATACCCTAGGCATTTGTTCTTCTATTTATTTATTCATTCATTTATTCAGAAAATAATTATTAACACTAAGTGCCAAGAACTGTCCTGGGCCCATGTTTCTCCAAGTGCTTTGAGATACCAATTTTTGGTTGGTTGGTTTCCAATCTGCCACAGTCTGGTACTTCTGGGAAATATCATAAAAATGAAATACTAGAAAAATAATCACACACGTGGATGTTGTATCAGTATCAAATTCATGTCCACACGTGCTACACGGTGGAGACGGAGACAGACAATAAGCAATAAGCATGGCATGGCCAGGTGCCATGCTCACCCCGTAATCCCAGAACTCGAGGAGGCCAAGGTGAGAGGATTGTTTGAGGTCTGGACTTTGGGAACAGCCTGGGTCCCATAATAAGACATTGTCTTTACCAAAAAATGTTTAAAATTCACCAGGCATGGTGATGCGTGCCTGCATATAGTCCTAGCTACTCAGGAGGCTGAGGTGGAAGGATCGCTTGAGGCCAGGATTTGGAGGCTACAGTGAGCAATGATTACACCACTGGACAGCCACCTGGGAAACAGAGCGAGACCTTGTCTCTCTTAAAAATAATAAACAACAATAAGCATAACAGATAACTCAACTGCGTGATTGTATGGGATTTTAGAAGAGTGAAGTATTATCAGGAAGAAAACTTAGCCAAGGTGATTAGGAGTGAACCAAGCATGGAAAGTACGGTTGGGGGGATGTGTTCTCTTGGGAGTTTTTAGTTTGGTTTGGTTTTTGATGAAGTCGCACTCTGTCAACCTGAGGAGAGTGCTATGGTGTCACTGTAGCTCATAGCAACCTCAAATTCCTGGGTTCAAGCAATCCTCTTGCCTCAGCCTCCCGATAGCTGGGACTAAGGTGCCTACCACAGTGCCTGGCTAGTTTATGTTTATTTTTAGTAGAGATGAGATCTCACTCTTGCTCAGGCTGGTCTCAAACTACTGAGGTCAAGCAATCCATGTATCTTGGCCTCCAGAGTGCTGGGATTACAGGTGTGAGCACTGCACTGGCTGTGACTATGGTTTTAAACAGGGTGGTCAGGGTGGCTCCAGTGAGAACATGAGAGTGGAGCAAAGACTTGCAGTCAGCAAGCCAGTGTGCAGGTGGGTATCTGACAGAAGAACGTTCCAGGCAGAGGAGCAGCGGTGACAAGGATCCTGAGGAAGGCCAGACATGAACTAGATGATGAGGAGAAAGGGGCCTGTGTGTTAGAGCTGAGAGAACAAAAAGGAGAACTATAGCTGAGGAGCCAGACAGCGCAGGCCCCTACTTCTTACTGTCCTAACAAACCCCCAGGGAGCTAGCTAAAATCAAAACTACAGTTTAGCAGGACTGGGTGGCTGCTGGGTGGTGCCAATATTGTCAGTCTGAGGTTTGCATTGTGAATATTGAGGGTGTAGTTTTGTGGAATGGGAAGCCAGGGAGCAAAGGAGTGACGTGATCTGAGTTATGATTTAGAATAGTCACTCAGCTTTGCAGCTGAAGATTGACTAGACATCATGAATGGAAGAAATAGGTCACGGAAGTGTGTTTACTAGACAGCTGAAACTTCCTCAAACCTGTAACTCCCTTTCACATGGAATGCACCAAACACAGTTCTCCTCGTTCTTTGTGTCTTGGGACCTGATTATTAACAATCATCACACTGGGCTGTACTGCAGAGCAGTCCTCGGAGACCACTGTGAAATGGGGCCACCTA